TGAGACAGAGTCTCACTATGTCACCCTTGGTAAAGTACCATGGTGTCACAGCTCACAGTAACCTCAAACTCTTGGGCTTAAGTGATTCTTTTGCCTCAGCCTCCCAAGTAGCTGGGACTACAGGTGCCCGCCACAACACCCAGCTATTGTATTTATGTGTGTGTGTGTTACAGTTGTCATTGTTGTTTAACAGACCTGGGCCAGGCTGGAACCTGCCAGCCCCAGGGTATGTGGCTAGAGCCCTACTCATTGAGCTGCAGGCATTGAGCCAGTTGTAAAAATTATTAAATGACAAAGGCTTTAAGGTCAAACTACTTGGGTTCTTATCTAAGTTTCATCACTCAGAACTGTGTAATGCTAACAAGTTAACCTCCCCTCCTATGAATCAGGTTCCTCACCTATAAAATGAGGAGGCGAAGGTTATATACCACAGCAAGAATATGAAGATTAAAGAACAATGCACTTGCATTGGTTAATACATAAGAAACATTAACTCTGATGTCATTTTAAAAAAGTAACTCAGAAATCTAGTGATTGTTATAAATGAATATTTTTCTAAGATCACAAACATGTCAAATATAGAGAACAAATCACTAAATAAATGCTATTTCTAAACTTAAAAAAAAAAAAAGCCCTGATACCCATTAATAAGAAGTTAACCTCTGTAAAACAAGCAAACATCTTTAAAAAACATGTGCCACTCACTGTGGCACACTGTTCTAGATGCTTAGGATAGATACACCAATGAAAAGTATCAGACAAAATTTCCACCTCCCTGGAGCTTACATTTTAGTAGGTCTGCTGATTCTATATTTACAGTAAGCTACATGGATCTAGTTCAAGTAGATCCATAAATCCCAACTTAACTAGACCAGATTTTCTAATCTAGCCTCCAGGCACAAAATTTCCCATAATCAAACTGATTTAATTATCAGAGCATAGGTGAACATTTACTCCAAGGGGCATTACTGGGTCCCCTATTAGACTCTGGATAATCCTTTACCAGATAAATCTCTGATGATAAAAGTATAATAAATATGGCCTTTTTCTAGGAGTACTTTTTATAATGTAAAACAAGTTCTACCTTCATTCCCAAGAAACCTATAGGGGCGTTTGGAAAGTAGGCTCACTTTATTCTTTCTACCAAGTAAGACCTTGGAAGAACGTAGTTTAGGAGTTACTGGATGCCAGCTTGGGATCACAAGGGTAGAGTCTGCCTGATAACAAAGCCAACATGTGGAAGAAAGAAAGGAAAGCCAAACCAAAAAGCAGAGAGAAACCCATTGTCAAAAGCAATATCTCATCTTCTAAATCCAGTCACACAAGAAGCCAGATATCCCTAGACTTTTTCATTATACTAACTAAACAAACTGCCTTTTAGCTCCGGGTTGAATGTTCTGTCACTTGCAGCAGCAACAAAATCATAAGTGATGCTCATTCCAACAGCTATCTTCATAGAATAAGCACTCTTTTTTTTTTTTTTTTTTTTCAGTTTGGCCGA